TTGGCAACAAAAGCCAAAATAGACAAATGGGACCTAATGAAACTCCACAGCTTCTGCACGGCAAAAGAAACAGTCACTAGAGTGGATCGGCAACCAACAGAATGGGAAAAAATGTTTGCAGTTTACCCATCTGACAAAGGGCTGATATCCAGAATTTACAAAGAACTCAAACAGATTTACAGGAAAAAAACAAACAAGCCCATTCAAAAGTGGGCAAAGGATATGAACAGATACTTTACGAAAGAAGACATATATGAGGCCAACAATCATATGAAAAAATGCTCATCGTCACTGGTCATCAGAGAGATGCAAATCAAAACCACATTGAGATACCATCTCACGCCAGTTAGAATGGCGATCATTAAAAAATCTGGAGACAACAGATGCTGGAGAGGATGTGGAGAAAAAGGAACACTTTTACACTGTTGCTGGGAGTGTAAATTAGTTCAACCATTGTGGAAGACGGTGTGGCGATTCCTCAAGGCCTTAGAAATAGAAATTCCATTTGACCCAGCAATCCCATTACTGGGTATATATCCAAAAGACTATAAATCCTTCTACTATAAGGACACATGTACACGAATGTTCATTGCAGCACTGTTTACAATAGCAAAGACCTGGAATCAACCCAAATGCCCATTGATAATAGACTGGATTGGAAAAATGTGGTACATATACACCATGGAATATTATGCAGCAATCAGAAATGATGAGTTTGTGTCGTTTGTAGGGACATGGATGAATCTGGAAAACATCATCCTCAGCAAACTGACACAAGAACAGAAAATGAAACACCGCATATTCTCACTCATAGGTGGGTGATGAAAAATAAGAACACATGGACACAGAAAGGGGAGTACTAAACACTGGGGTCTATTGGGGGGAAAAGGGGAGGGTCAGTGGGAGGGGGAGGTGGGGAGGGATAGCCTGGGGAGAAAAGCCAAATGTGGGTGAAGGGGAGAAGAAAAGAAAGCACACTGCCATGTGTGTACCTACGCAACTGTCTTGCATGCTCTGCTCATGTACCCCAAAACCTATAATCCAATAAAAAATTAAAAAAAAAAAAAAAAAAAAAAACAATTGCTAAGCTTTAGCCAGTCTAAGAAAAACAGAAAACACAAATTACTAATATCAAAAATGAAAGAGGGGACCAGGTGTGGCAGCTCACATCTGTAATTGTAGCACTTTGGGAAGCTAAGGCGGGCAGATCACTTGAGATCAGGAGTTCAAAACTAGTCTGGACAATATGGCAAAACCCTATTTCTACTAAAAATATAAAAATTAGCCAGGCATGGTGTCGGGTGCCTGTAATCCCAGCTCCTCAGGAGGCTGAGGCAGGAGAATCAATCGCTTGAAGCAAAGAGGCAGCGGTTGCAGTGAGTCATGATCAAGCCACTGCACTCCAGCCTGGGTAACAAAGCAAGACTCCATCTCAAAAAAGAGAAAAAGAAAAAGGGGACACAACTACAGTCCCCATAGACATTAGAAAGTTAATAAAGGAATATTATAAATAACTCTAGGCCCACAAACTTAATAAACTAAGTGAAAGAATCAACTCCTTAAAAGGCACAATCTGCCAAAACTCACAGAAGAAACAATCTGAATGTCTGCATCTTTTAAAAAAACTGGATCAATAATTAATAATCTTCCAAAACAGAAGTCATTAGGCCCATATTGTTATGTTGGTTAATTCTGCTAAACATTTAAGGAAGAAACTACACCAATTACTACAAGCAGAATATTTCCCGACCCATTCTATGTAGCCAGCATTATCCCAATAGCAAAACCAAAGACATTACAAGGAAACTACACAGCTTTCATGAACATAAATGCAAAAATCTTCAGTAACATATTAGCAAATTGAATCCAACAACATAGAAAGAATTATAACTATAATCAAGTGAAATTTATTTTAGGTACATGTATTAGTTCATTCTCACACTGCTATAAGGAACTGCCAGAGGCCAGGCGCAGTTGCACAACCTATAATCCCAGCACTTTGCCAGGCTGAGGAGGGTGGATCACCTGAGGTCAGGAATTCGAGACTAGCCTAACATGGTGAAATCCCATCTCTACGAAGTACAAAGACATTAGCCGGGTGTGGTTGGCGCATGCCTGTAATCCCAGCTACTCGGGAGGGTGAGGCAGGAGAATTGCTTGAACCAAGAGGCAAAGGTTGCAGTGAGCCAAGATCACGCCATTGCACTCCAGCCTGGGCAGCAAGAGCACAACTCCATTTGAAAAACAAAAACATTAAAAAAAAAAAAAAAAAACTGCCAGAAAATGGGTAACATATAATGGAAAGAGGTTTAATTGACTCACAGTTCAGTACAGCTGGTGAGGCCTCAGGAAACTTATAATCCTGGTGGAAGGGGAAGCAATCATATCCTCTTTCACATGGTGGCAGGGAGAAGAAAAATGAGGACCCAGTGAAGGGGAAGCCCCTTATGAAATCATCAGATCTCATGAGAACTAACTCACTATCACGAGGACAGGATGGGGAAAACTGCCCCCATGTTTCAATTGTCTCCACCTGGACTCTCCCTCAACATGTGGGGATTATAGAAACAATTAAAGATGGGGTTTGGTGATAACACAGCCAAATCATATCAGTATGCAAGCCTGGCTTAACATTCAAAAATCAATTAATGTAATCCATCACAATAGCAGGCTAAAGAAAAAACATCAAAATCACATTAATACTGAAAAAGCATTAACAAAATCAATCATTCATGATAAAAACTCAGCAAACTGGGAATAGAGGGGCAATTTCCTCACCTTGAAAAGAACATCTACTAAAAACCTATAGCTAACATTATATTAATGGTGAGGAACTCAAAGTTTTATCACTAAGATCAGAAAGAAGGCAAGGATGTCTACTCTCACCACTGCTTTTCAACATCATGCTGGAAGTTCTAACTAATGTAATAAAACAAGAGAAGGAAATAAAAGGTATACACATTGGACAGGGAAAAAAATTGTCTCTCTTCATAGATGACATGATAGTCTATGTAGAAAATGTGAAATAATCACAAAAATCTCCTGGAACTAATACGTGATATAGCAAAGTGGCAGTATACAAAGTTAACTTCCAACATCAATTACTTTCCTATAAACCAGCAATAAAGAGGCAGATTTTGAAATCTAAAACAATACCATTTATATTATCACTCCTAAAAATGAAATACCTAGATGTAACATTTACAACACACGTACAAGATCTATATGAAGTAAACTACAAAATTTGATGAAAGATGACAACTAAATGGATATTCTGTGTTCATAAATAGGAATAATCAACATTGTCAAGATGCTCAGTTCTCCCCAAGTTGATCTATGAACTCAACACATTCTCAACTAATCCCATAAAGTTATTTTGTAAATATTGACACACTGATTCTAAAGTTTATATGGAAAGGGCCAGGCATGGTGGCTCATGCCTATAATCCCAACTCTCTGGGAGGCCAAGATGAGAAGATTGCTTGAGCCAAGGAGTTTGAGATCAGCCTGGGTAACATAGTGAGATCTCAACTCTACACAAAAACTTCAAATTAGCTGGGCATGATGGTATGTGCCTATGGGCCCAGCTACTCAGGAGGCTGGGGTGGGAGGATCCCCTCAACCCATGAATTCGAGGCTGCATTGAGCTGATTGTGCCACTGCACTCCAGCCTGGAAGACAGGGTGAGAACTCGTCTCAAAAAAATAATAATTAATAAAAATGAGGTTACATGGCAGGCAGAGGACTCAGAATGGCCAACTCAATGTTAAAGAACAAAGTAGGCCAGGCACGGTGGCTCACGCCTGTAATCCCAGCACTTTGAGAGGCCGAGGCAGGTGGATCACAAGGTCAGGAGTTCAAAATCAGCCTGACCAACATGGTGAAACTCCATCTCTACTAAAAATACAAAAATTAGCCAGGCATGGTGGTGGAGCACCTATAATCCCAGATACTCAGGAGGCTGAGGCAGGAGAATTGCTTGAACCCGGGAGACAGAAGTTGCAGTAGTCGAGCTCACACCACTGCACACCATCCTGGGCAACAGAGCGAGACTCTGTCTAAAAAAAAAAAAAAAAAAAAAATGAAGAGAACAAAGTTGGAGGACTGACTCTATCTGACTTCAAGATTTATTTTAAAGCTACAGCAATGAAGCCAGTGTGGTATTGGCAAAATAATTGATGAACAGGCTAATGGAACAGAATAGAAAGCTCAGAAATAGACCTACATAAATGTCAACTGATCTTCAACAAAGGAGCAAAGGTTATACAATGGAGAAAAGACAATCTTTGTAGACAGCCACATGCAAAGAAATAAACCTAGACACGAACCTTACACCTTTCATAAAAAATTAATCCAAAAAGATAATAGACCTAAATTTAAAATGCAAAACTATAAAAATTCCTAGAAGGTAACTAGATGACCTTGGGCAGAACAATGACTTTTTAGCTACAACATCAAAGGCACGATCCATGAAAGAAATAACTGATAAAACTGATCCTCATTAAAATAAAACACTTGTGCTCTATGAAAATACCAACAGAGTAAGACAAGCCATGGACTGGGGAAAAAAATACTTCCAAAAGACACTTGAAAAAGGACTGTCATCCAAAACATACAAAGAACTCAAAACTCAACAAGAAAATGACCCCCAAAACTCAAACAGAACCTTGCCAAAGAAGATAAATAGATGGCAAGTATGTGAAAAGATGTTCAACATCATGTCACTAGGGAATCACAATTAAAAGGAGATATACTACAGATCTATAAGAATGACCAAAATCCAAAATAATAACAACACCAAATACTGAAGTGGCTGGGTATGGAACAATGGGTACTCTTTCATTGCTGGTGGGAATACAAAAGGGCACATATCCACTTCCAAATACCATTTGGCTGTTTCTTAAAAAATTATATATATTCTTACCATGCAATCCCACAACTGCTCTCCTTGATATTTACCCAAAGAAGTTGAAAACTTAGTCCACACGAAAACCTGCACATGAATGTTTATAGGAACTTTATTCATAATTGCCAAAACCTCAAAACAACCAAGACATCTTTCAGTAGGTTAGTGGGTAAACTGTTTTACATCAGATGATGGAATATTATTCAGCACTAAAAAGAAATGAGTGATCAAGCCATGAAAAGTCATGGAGGAAACTTAAATATATATTACTAGGTGAAAAGTGAATGAAGCCCATCTGAAAAGGCTACATGCTATATGATTCCAAGTATATAACATTCTAGAAAATGCAAAATTATGAATATAGTAAAACGATTACTTGACAGGGATGGAGGGGATGAACAGGCAGAACAGGGAATTTTTAAGGCAGTCAAAACAATGGCAGATAAATATCATACATTTGTCCAAACCCACAGAATATATAACACCAAGAATAAACCCTAATGTAAGCCATGGGCTTTGGGTAATATGTTGATGTAGGTTCATTAATTGCAACCAATGTACCAACTATGGAGGGAAATGCTGATAGTAGGGATGGTTCTGGAGGGCAAAGGAGAAACAGTTGAGTATATGGAATGCTTTACTTTCTGCTCAATTTTGCTATGAACCTAAAACTGCTCTTAAAAAATAAAAAACAAAGATGTTTTAAAGTTTATAAATTAAAATAAGACATAAAACTGGTAAAATCCAAATTAGGTCTGTAGTTTAGTTAATAGTAGTACACCAAAGTTAATTGTCTTGATAAAATACTCTAGTTAAATAAAGTGTTATCATAGAGAAATAACTAAGTGACAGGTAAACAGGAACTCTGTAATATTGCTGCAACTTTTATGAGTCAAAAGCTATTTCAAAAAAATTTTAGCACGGAGCACAGTGACTCATGCCTGTAATCCCAGTGCTTTGGGAGGGCAAGGCAGGATAATCACTTGAGACCAGAGTTTGAGACCAGCCTGGACAACAACACCCTATCTATATAAAAAATAATTTTAAACAGTTAGTCATCATGGTGGTGCAAGCCCTGTAGTCCCAGCTACTTAAGGGGCTGAGGCGGTATTGCTTGAGCCCAGGAGTTTAAGATTGTAGTAAACTATGATTCTGCCTCTGTACTCCAGCCTAGGCAACAGAACAAGACCCTGCCTCTTAAAAAAAAAAATTAAAAGAAGTAAGTTAGTCAAATTAAGAAGGCTATTATTTACCAGAATTTATATACACTTAATGTTGCAATGTATCTAGCATTTATTTTTCTAAGGCAGTAAGATCTGCATCTCTATTTTAGAAACATTTTACAACTCTGTTCTTTAAAGTATGACGGACATTAAGTTCTAGGTGGCTCAGTATATAATGCTTTAAGTTTTAGGCATAGCAGAAGAGAAAATTCTAGAGAAAAATGTCTTGTATTATTAATTATCTTTCTAGGAGAGCAACCTATAAAGAGCCATATATAAATTCTAATGGAAGACATGATATAGGTAAGAGACCCAAGAGATAATGCAGACCACCACTAGGCTCGATTCTCTTATGACCAACACACTGAGATAACTTCTGAGTCATGACAAATAAATAATAAATTTTTATTAGCTTCTTTTCAATTCTACACATTTTTAAAGTCATTACACATTTTTAAAGGTTAATAAAAATCAATGAAATATGTCTACACTTAGAATCAATGTAATTTGTACAGATAATTTTCACCTTTAATATTCATAATTTTTTCTTTAAAAATAGAATAAATTTTAATTCTGAAAAGATGTAACAATTTCCATGAAAGCAGGTCCACTGTAGTACATGAGGTTTATACTTATTAAGAAATATTTAATTAAGTAGACACATTCATTTATATCAAACAAAAAAATTGTATATGTATCATGAGACAGTTTAAATATGTACGGTAATTACAGATTTGAAATTAAGTCCCCTTTGCAAAGATCAGTGCATCTGGACTGGTTAATCCACTAAATTATCATTTTGAATAAGAAACCAAAACAAAAATGACATTTTGGAAAGAAAAATAATAGTTTCAAAGTGAAAGTGACTCTTCTCCTCATTTTAAAATGCATATAATTTTCTAAAACGTAAAATGGAGAGTTTTAATACACAGGAAAAACACGCACACCTTAACTAAACTAACTAGAAAGAAAATATCTTTATATTTTTTTATGTTTTATTTTTATTTTTTGAGACGGAGTTTCGCTCTTGTTACCCAGGCTGGAGTGCAATGGCGCGATCTCAGCTCACAGCAACCTCCGCCTCTTGGGTTCAGGCAATTCTCCTGCCTCAGCCTCCTGAGTAGCTGGGATTACAGGCACGCGCCACCATGCCCAGCTAATTTTTTGTATTTTTAGTAGAGACGGGGTTTCACCACGTTGACCAGGATGGTCTAGATATCTTGACCTCGTGATCCACCCGCCTCGGCCTCCCAAAGTGCTGGATTACAGGCATGAGCCACCGCGCCCGGCCGAAAATATCTTTATATACAGAACTAAGATGAATCCATGCAAGTTTTTACAAGACTGCCTGGAAAAAAAATACTATTTACAAATGTTCACATAGATGGTTTAGAGATAAGTAGTTAAATGTCTCAATTAACTACTAACCTCTGTCTTTCTTCATTAATTTTATTTCCTAGTTCAACAAAAAACAATAATGCTTTCAGGATATATTAGATATAAAGCAGAATCGTTTTTTATCAGTAATTTCTCTGAAAAAGAGAAAAAACTTAAAGCAGAACCCTACAAAGCAAAGCAAACTACAAAGAAAACAGTAACATAGTGTTTGCAAAGTAGAAATGTGTGACTTTTATTTTAACTTTGAAATAGCAGGCTATCTAATTAATCCAGACAGTGGAGAAAGCAAACTGAGGCAGGAAGTAAGAGGTGGGCTAAACTGCTAAGAAATAATCATTTAAAATAAAACTTTAGAATCCTTATTCTAGGGATTCCTTTAATTCCACTTTGCAAGTTTTAATAGGTACACTAATTTACACAGGGCACACTACCAATTACTGTGCAACATTAAAGCCTTCAGTTAAGAAACTTGTTACCAGTGAGGTGAGACACACCAGGGAAAAAAGCTAACCTGCCAAGGAAGACTAAAGAGGGGCAAAATAGAAGGAAGCTGGATCTTTTATAATGTAGTTTAGCCACTAAACTGATGCTGGAACCATCTACCGCTACACTTCCTGCTGTGAGAAATAATGTATTTGTCTTTAAATGTCTTTTTTTTTTTTTTTTAAAGACAAGAAGAGAAACTGGTCAAAAAGCTTTGCGTAAGATTCATTTTAAAATCTTTTTTTTTTCCTTAGAACAAAGATGGTTAAAAACTTGGGTTTTCTAAACAAACTTGTATTAATATGAAGTTAGGAAGATATACAAAGCTGAAGTGTCTGGAACCATTTGGCTGCCTGCAGTCTTCAGCAAGATCACAAAGTACTCAAAAATTCTTTGACCTGAGGAAAGAAAAAAAAAAAAATCAATATAATTCCTTGACTAATTTTAGATACCCAATGTTCATCTTCATTTAAAAGTATATTAGTTGAAGACCCCAGCTGTATAAGTAACGATCACAACGTCATAGCATTTACTTTCCAAAGAAATGTTGTTAAGGCTGGGTGCAGTGGCTCATGCCTGTAATTCCGGCTCTTTGGGAGGCCGAGGTGGGTGGATCACTTAAGATCAGGAGGTTGAGACCAGCCTGACCAACATGGTGAAACCTCATCTCTACTAAAAATACAAAAATTAGCTAGGCGTGGAGGCGTGCACTTGTAATCCCAGCTACTTGGGAAGCTGAGGCAGCAGAATTGGTTTAACCTGGGAGGTGGAGATTACAGTGAGCCGAGATCATGACACTGCACTCCAGCCTGGGTGATGGAGTAAGACTGCCTGGAAAAAAAAGAAATACTATTCAATACTTCAGTTGTAAAAGATGAATGACCTCAAAGGTCATTTTAGGAGTTTATTGCTCTGTTGCCCAGGCTGAGTACGTGGCTCAATCACAGTTCACTGCAGCCTTGAACTCCTGGCTAGGCACACACCACCAAGTCTGGATAGTTTCTGTTGGTTTTTTATAAAGATAACGTCTTGCCATGTTGCCCAGTCTGGTCAGGAACTCCTGGGCTCAAGCAATCTTCCCATCTCAGCCTCCCAAAGTGCTGGGATTACAGGTGTGAGTCACTGCATCTATCAATCTAAGATTGACATATTTCTAAAAATAGCTATAACACCAATTTTATAATCTCTTTATTTAAATACTACAGACTATTGACATGTGCAGCTTTAACACTGATAAAATTAATAAGCACAATAGTTCAAGCAACTTTGAAGATGAAACATAGAGTAGATTTGTCATGTTTCTGAAGCACAGATGTGAATTATATACTCTGCAATGTCAGTGTGTGGGAAAAATCATATAAGGAGTCAATGAACCTAGACAACTGACCACAATCTAAGAATACACTTGTTCTCTACATATTGTATCAATAATTCTCAAGAGACAAAGATTATTCCTTGTAAAAATACTTTAAAAAGAAAGTCAACTGCTAGCACTATTAATAAAAGTAAATGTAATAATGTGAATGATTCTTAGTCAAAACAAAGTAGTGTCAGATAAAATTAAAAAGTGGTTTTACAAAGTCAGTTAAATTGATGGTTAGTTGTTAATACTGACTTAATTTCATTTACTTTAATAGTATTATAAGAAAATTTGTCCTATATTTTTAACATCATTAATAGTATGAAGAAGTCACTGGAATTTTCCAGACAAGCTTTAGTTCATATTAATGGGAAAAACAACTACATGTATACACTACAGTAGTTACATAAAATGTGAAGATTTTCAAAATTCTTGAAATATATCCCTTATGAATGTGAAGTCTCTATTAAACAGCAGATATGTCACAAAAGAAAGAAAAAATCAAATTTCTCTCCAAACTAAACCAAACAAATTGTGGTTTCTTCTTTATAGTTCAGTCACTGAGTTATCAACATGGGTATAGGGACATTTTGTTATACAAATTCCCTTATTATTCTCTCTCAAATGTTCATCAATAAATTCTCATCCAGTCCCTTTATCAATATGACACCACTTACTTAACAGAATGTGGTCAACTCCCAGTATCTGGGTGATGAATGAACTATGATTAAGATAATGACTCAGTGATTAGGCAGTCAATTAATCCTTGACATGATCTGAGATGAAACTCAAAACTTTTAATCCTTTAATCACAAGACTTTAGCCAACGTAAAAATGGATGAGATCTGTATCCTACAACTTTAAATATCCTCCATATTGAATTTGGTTGAAAAAGATAAATTTAATTTCACAAGCAGTTTATTATTAAAGTATCTAAAGCTTGGTGGTATAGGGAAGAGAGGAAGAAATGGGGACAAAGCAGAGAAAAAGGGAGTGAGAAAGAATTTTTGTTATGCTTTTCCCTATCCTACAAAAAGAGGCACTAAAGGATTTTTTTTTAAATCCTTATTTATTTATTTAATATTTTTCTAAGAGATCTGTCAGATTCTGAGATTTTGAAGCATCCTTATATTAGCTCAGGCCACAAAGCAACAATTCAGTCAGGACTGGGATCTAAGCAGTCCAAAATCTTCTAAAGCTCTTAACTGTTTCTTAATGTAACTTTATGGAACCTTTTCTGTTAGAAAATTGTTTTCTCACAAGTTAGTACACTTTTTTAGACAAAACAAATATTAGTTTGTAGTCTGTCTAAGAATCTACCTTTTCAACCAGACTTTCATATTTGTCTTTAAAGTCTTCATTAACATCCAGTGTTAAGATAGGCACCTCTTGAAGATAATTGAAGTTGGTTCTGTTTAAAAAGAGATTAATAAAATAATCAGAAATGTAGAAAAAAGAGAGAAACATTAAAAATTCATTCTTATATCATTGGAAACTCAAAATGTTGTCAACCATTTACACTAAAGTTACTTTGCAATACTTTATCTGGCAGGCCCTTCTTTCTCATCTAGATTTACCATATGGAGCCAAAAAACTCAGATATAAAATATATAAAGCTAGGTACTGTAACATATGATTCTCTTCAAAAACAAAAAACAGACAATAAAGTAGGAATTTCTGCATTTTAAAAATGAGAAAACTAAAGCTCAGAATTGTCATTCTGAAGCTCAGAGGCTATCCGAGGTCACACATTACTAAGTGAGACTGGACTTGAGCCAACATCTGACTAATAACAAAGTCTATCCTCTCAACAATTATGCTATACAATCTCCCAAGTCAAAATTCTTTCTGAAAGGGTACCTAAATAATGTATAGATATATTTCCTACTTTCACTTAAAGCGAAATTTCATATGTTATGCTATCAATATTACCAAGTTTTTATAAAGTTATAAAAACTTTAAGACAATAGGATCTCACTGCAATCAAGAGAATCAAAATCTATACCTAGTTCTGGAAGATACCAATAAGTAAATGACTGATAATTTTACATGTTGCTAGTCATATATTCCAAATTTTAGATTAAAATTTAACAAAGATATTTAAAACGAATAGTAAATAAAAATAAGGACGTCTTACTTCAATGTTCTATGCAGGAGCCAGCTTTCATGTTTATGATGAAGCTTCTCTAAATATTCAAGAGGAATGCCTTGCTCTTCATTTCTTCCCCGTAAATACATTCTATGTAAGCATTTCTAAAAGCAAGTAATAAGAGATGGAAGAAAAAGACAGGGAACAATTATTCTTGTCTGCTGCCATCAAAATTTTCTTTTCTGGGTCTCTCTACTCATACCAGCCAAAATCTCTACATTCTACTTCTTAAAAGTTGAAATAATTTATTTTTCCCTCCATGAGCTTTTCAGCTACTTGGTGGCTCTAAACCAAGTAGTACTTTCAAAAATAAGTTAAAATAAGTCTAGAAATTTTTGGTATCCACACATGAAATATACTAAGTTTGATAAAAAGGAGGAAAAAAAGCATTAAACATCAACTTAAAATATTCAGAGACAACAGCTAAAAGACAGGCCAATCTATAAAGGTAATCTTACTTTGCTGTTAATCAAACTTGATTATAAAACAGCTATGTTCAGTTCATGTAAAACCACTAAAGGCAGTGGTTCTTAATGTGATGAAAGCTCTATACCAGCACAACCAAAACAACTTTGGAATGTTTTATGCCTGTCCTGTATCTGCATTATCAAATAAGGTAGCCACTAGCCACCTGTGGCTTTTAAGCACTTGAAATATGGCTTATGTGGTGACCAAGGAACTAAATTTCTAAATTTTATTTAATTTTAATAACCTTACATTTAAATAGCCACATTGGACAGTGCAGCTCTGGATTATGTTCCCCCAAAAGTACACCTAAATAAAAGCTTTCATATAATTTTTAGGGGTTCATAGACCCTGAGAAACTCTTCATGCATTTCAAGAAATAAAAACCTCCAACCTAAATGACATGCATTAAGACCATGGCAGCATACAAACTGTTGCAAGGTCTACTCTAAATTCTCTTTTCAATAATTAAACAATCCTTTCATCAAAGGATATCAGAAACAATATTGATGAAATAAAGTTGTGTGCTAGACTTTAAGATACTATGAATGTTTCTATCAAAATGAAATGATTAGTATTCTTTATGTTTTTTGGTCTGTACTATTTTTCATAACTTTAAGAAATCTTTTCAAAAATAAAAGTGAATTCTGAAATTATAATTGCTAAATTCTAGCTTAATATTGATCATAAATGTTTCAAGCAAAATGAAATTATTAGTATTCTTTATGTTATTTTTCATTTTTATTTACTATGTTTGTAATTAAAAACAAAAACTTTCAGAAATAAAAGTAAATTTCAAAGTTGAAATTGAAAAAGTCACTTTTGAAATTGCTAAATCCTCACTTAATGAAGATCGGAAACCTCATTTCTTAAAAAAGCCAGCTTCGATAGCAACACAGTATTCTAACTAATTTTAGGGCAAAAGTTATGACATTTACATTCATCAGTCCCTACCCTGTGACTTAAGGAAGAAATGAGAATTAAAAAATAGAAACAATAGAAATGAAAGCACCAAAACCAGAAAGCTTCTGATTAAATGTAAGATCTTAATATTTAGGTTAGTTTTATGAAAGGTATCTATTTGGTCTTTCTGTATTCATTTTATAACCTCATATGTAAATAGAACAGCTATGTTACAACCTATCACAAAAGCACTTTTCAAGTGAACTCCCTTAATTGAAAATGGTTCTCTAAGTCTTTTCCCAACTATAGCTGGCATTATCCACTCATCCCAAGCCATAAACAACCATAATTAAAGATTTTTTGAAAAGGATCTCCATACTCCATTCATTCAATAAATATTTACTGAGCCCTTACTATGTGCCCCAACAGTGCCTAGAACTGTTCTAGGGACTGGAAATTCAACAGTAATGAAAATACCCAAGGTCCCACCTCATGAAGCCTATATTCTAGGAGTTGCTTGACTACATTTCTTACTTTAATTGTGCTGAATAAGAGAGTCTGCAAATATTGGGAAGAAATAATGAGTAAAAATAAAAAAGAATTGAGGAAGCATAAAGAGCCTAAAGAAGCAACTTGGCCAGTCTGTGATTCCAGTTTGCTGAGAAAAAAGAATACCTCTATCTATATAGTTACAAGTTTCTAATATAGAGTGGGAGGTTGGAAGGCTGGAGTTAAACTAAACTGCCCTCATTACATACCACTGAAAAGAGTTCTAAATATTTCTTTAAATTTTCATGGAACATATTTTTATTGGGTTTTACCTCTGGAGTGGCTCGAAGATAAATGATTCCATCCAGTTCAAGGCTTTGGCCAAACTGGTTATTCGTCCAGTCATGCCAGTCTTGATAAATTGTCCACTCTGTTTCATTCATGCATTCAGATTCATACAAATTAGATGCAAAAATATACCTAAAAGAGAGTCTTCATCAACACATGTATCATTTCCAAAAAAACTAACAAAGAAATAAAAAAGAGAATAAGAACATGAAACATTCTCCTAAATCCAGTGGCACATAGTGCCGCGGACAGCCGAAAAACCAGAAGTCTTTCCATCTACAGGAAATATGTTCTTGGCCAATGGTTCCCAAAATATGGAGTGAGGATTCCATAAATCCCCAAGATCTTCTAAGGGGTTCTGTGAGAGGCCAGATTACTTCATATACCAACATGTTCAAACAAACGAACATACCATTAACAGATTAACTACGGAAGCATAAATAAAAATCCAGCTCTTTTTAAATAACTGAGGCATTAAAGATATCTGCAAAAATGTAAAGCAATGGTACTCTTCTAGCTACTTTTTATTTTAGAAAATATCATTTTTTTGCCAAATTTATATTAATATGAAATGAATTTACTAATTTTAAATCATTTTTATAAATCTTAGTTTTTAGTAACCTAAATATCAATAGGACAAGCGCTTTGCATGCGTCAATAGTTATTAAGAATTGAAAAAGGTCCTAAGATCAAAAATTTGAGAACCTCTTTTCTGAGCTAATTTTGGAGGTCAAAATAATCCTAGCATAAGTAGCAATTCAAAGGCCCCTTAGAGACATTTATTTTCTTGCTTCAGGTAACAGTCTAGGATATAGATCCAGATTTAACCAGAGTACATGATAATTTTTAAAGGGTTTAAGGGAAAAACAACTTCTCTGCAAATTTAATTTGAGATGGCCACCACCATATTCCCAACAGTTTCTATGGAAGCTAGGGATTATAAATGCAATAACTTTTCTAATGCCATTAGTACCAAACTGCTGAGGGATTTAAATGTCATTTTCCATCTTAAATCCCCCAACTCAGACATTCATATTACCAATTCCCAGGAAACATTAAAAAAAAAAAAAGAAAGAAAGAAAAAGAAAAAATGTCCAGTTCTAAGACAAAAACTTTAAGTGGCCAAGTAAAGTCATTTATACATACCTATCACTATACACAGATCGTTCAAAAAATAATACTGGTTTCTCTGCATCTTTGAGCTTGCCATTGAGAGAGGCAAGCTGAGCTCTTATTCGACTGAGACAGGCATATGTTTGGAAGGTAAAAGACCATCGTTCTGGTTTCTCATACATCATCTGAAGAACATTCCCACCATTTTTCTGAGACGTTGTAAGTTCCTATTGTGAATGTGCAAAAAAGAAATGAAAAGCAAAATAAATGATCAATAGGGCTGTTTTAATATTTTAAGGCTATAAAAGAAGAGTTAGATAAATAAATGCAATCATGATTAGTAAAACCAAGATGATTAAGTTCCCTTTCTCATACTCTTTCTCAATATATTTTTCAGATTGTCTGAGGTCTGGAAAAATCTTTAGATCTTTCTCACAAGAGGTTACAAACCAATAACCTATGGAAGAAATCATTGTTTGGCCCAAAAGGCCTTTTTAAAACCTTGACTTAGCTGTCAATATTATTGTCAATATTTAAAAGCTAAATATTTTCACATAAAATATTTTATTTACATCTTTTTAAAAATGAAAAAAAAAAAGTAATACTGTACCCATCTTGGCAAAATCCCTCTTGGCAAAAATCATCTACGGCAAAGTCGCAGATGCCTCCCATCTAAATCTGGGATATATGTTCTCCAGCTTATCAACCCCCACCATTCCCTGATGATTTTTTTTTTTTTTTTTTTTTTTTTTGAGACGGAGTTTCGCTCTTTTTACCCAGGCTGGAGTGCAATGGTGCGATCTCGGCTCACGGCAACCTCCGCCTCCTGGGTTCAGGCAATTCTCCTGCCTCAGCCTCCTGAGTAGCTGGGATTACAGGCACACGCCACCATGCCCAGCTAATTTTTTTGTATTTTTAGTAGAGATGGGGTTTCACCATGTTGACCAGAATGGTCTCAATCTCTTGACCTCGTGATCCACCCACCTCGGCCTCCCAAAGTGCTGGGATTACAGGCTTGAGCCACCGCATCCGGCCTTCCCTGATGATTTTCATAACAGTTCTGATGCATTCATCTGGCGGTCTGGCTCCTTTAAGCACTTGTATTTGTAACCCTCCAATCTTCTAATAGAATAGAATAGTTTCCTCCCCCAGATTTTGCAATTCAATAATCTTATTGTCAGAATCATGTTTTCCAGGTTGAGAAAAAATACGAATGTAGATTTTAAAATGAAGTAAAACTCTATCATCTACTATCTGAATTAGAAATAGCATACAGAATACATGAATTATTTTTCTCTTTCTATATCATTTTTCTAGTTCTGTCCACCAAAAGGCCAATAAACAATGACACCCTTGTAGGAATATAAAAAAATATCATCCAGATTATAATTTCTAAATACCATTTCCCACTGAAAGGAATTAGAATTCTGATTCTAAATCTGGGTAAGAAAATATACAAGAGGAGCTTCACCTTGTGTATTTTAGGAAACTATTACAGTAGACCACTGCGATTATGCCAAGGACATAAGCTGCCACTGGTCCAAGAATAAGTTGAACATCTCCAGTGGGAGGCAAAAATTCATGAGTTTATAATAGTAAAAAACAAACAAGCAAAAAAAAAAAAAAAAAAACTAAACTAAACTCTAGTCATCTTCTGAGGCTCCTAAGGCATTAATTAATTATTCTGCAAATGTGTAGGTAAAAAGAAAAAAAAAGTCACATTTTATTCTGGCATTTTTTTTAGAAATACTTTCAGGATAATGAAGTAGTATATGAGGAAGAGGTCTTCCTTACTAAAGAATCCCAGCCAGTAAATTCAGAAGGCTGGAGAAGGAATATCACCTTTTATAATACATGCTGATATACTGCAATGAGGCAACAATTAGCAATAGATGCTAAAATTATTAGAGAAAAGTTAACTGGGAATTTTATAACGGATGAATCAAGCTGACAACACCTGAACTGACCGACTGATTTTAATATCACAAAACACATTTTCTTGATGTAAAGAAATACATGTCACCAACTAGGAATCTTGCCAAAAAAGAATTGAAAGTAAATCTAATCAAGCACCTGCCTACCCATAAATTTACAGGAAATACAGAAAACTGAAAAACATGTTAAATTTTGCCAGAGATACAGTCAGCCAAAACCAGAATGAGGAAAATTATATAGAACAAATGACTGTTTCTTCAACAAATAAATTATAAAGGAAAAAAAGGAAGAGGTAACCAACAGATTAAAATTTAAAAAGCGTATTAAAGCCAGGCATGGTGGCTCTTGTCTGTAATCCCAGCATTTTGGGAGGCTGAGGTAAGCAGATCACCTGAGGTCAGGAGTTTGAGACCAGCCTGGCCAACATGGTGAAACCTAGTCTCTACCAAAAATATAAAAAATTAGCTGGGCATGGTGGCACGCGCCTGTAATCATAGCTGCTCGGAAGGCTGAGGCAGGAGAATCCCTTGAACCCAGAAGGCAGCGGTTGCAGTGAGCCAAGAAGGTGCACTGCACTCCAATCTGGGGGACAGAGCAAGACTCCATCTCAAAAAAATAAATTAAATAAATAAATGGCATATTGACCACCAAATGTAACATGTGTGAATTTTGTTTGGCTCCTAATTTCAACAAATTATGAAAACATTATGAGACAATGGGGAAATATTAACACAGGATGATAAAAATAATTATTAATCTTTTAGATGACATTTTTTAAAAGACTCTTTATATTTCTAGAGTTCTTTGAGTCTTTGTTTTCTCCAGATGAAGTAATATATTCTCTAAGTATAGTAAAACTATAGTCTTTCAAAGCATAGAAGAAGCTCCGGGGGTCCCTGGATTTTTTCAGGTTGCTAAAGTTCTGAATATCTGTTCATAATGACCTAAGTATGCTTATAACAACACTGAGCTGTACACTTAAAAATGGTTCAGATGATAAATTTTATATTTTTGCCACAATAAAAAAGTTAATCACCAAAAAAGACCACACATCTCCTTTTATTTGAATTTCTCAGTAAATATAATGTCTCTTGGCCAAAGCAATTTCAAAGTTTACTATATTAAAATAATTTAGCCAGGCACGGTGGCTCACACCTGTAATTCCAGCACTTTGGGAACACCGAGGCAGGTGGATCACCTGAGGTCAGGAATTCGAGACCAGCCTGACCAACATGGAGAAATCCTGTCTCTACTAAAAATACAAAATTAGCTGGGTGTGGTGGTGCACACCTATAATTCCAGCTATTTGGGAGGCTGAGGCAGGAGAATCACTTGAACCTGGGAGGCTGAAATTGCGGTGAGCTGAGATTGCGCCATGGCACTACAGCCTGGGCAACAAAAGCGAAACTCCATCTCAAAAAAAAAAAAAAAATAATAATAATAACTTAGAGAACCAATCTTGATTCATCACCTAATCAAAAAATAAACTAGTTCTAAAAATAAAAATATGTAAATTCAAACTGAATCAAAAATCTGTAATAGAATTTTCAGCTATGAAGATGTTATCATCTTTTAGTTTAATAGTGTAACAAATTAGAAAATTTAACAGTAAGCCAGGGTATCATTATCGGTTCTTCAGGATAACTTAAGAGTCATATAAAACATTTTCTTTTGATCCTATGCATGAAATTTCAGACAAACTGCAAGGGTCTTTTGCATGTAATCATGAATGTTAAGAATAAAATACGTATTAAAAATTTATCCAGCCAGGTGAAGTTGCTCAGGCCTGTAATCCCAGCATTTTGGGAGGCTGAGGCAGGCATATCGCTTGAGCTCAGGAGTTCCAGACCAGCCTAGACAACATGGCAAAACCCTGTCTACAAAGCACAAAAATTAGCCAGGCAAGGTGGCATGCACCTGTAGTCCCAGCTACTACGGAGGCTGAGGTGGGAGAATTGCTTATGCCCGGGAGGCGGAGGCTGCAGTTAGCTGAGATTGTGCCACTGCACTCCAGCTTGGGTAATACAGCAAGACTCTGTCTCAAAAAAAATTTTTAAAAACTATCTAAAATATACTGTGTGTCATCTTTACCAAACCAAATGTTAATTTTATCAAGTTTTCCTCTCTGAAAACTATCCAGATAAAAAATTTGAATGTGTCAGAGTGAAACTACATTAAATAAAAATTGGTAGAACATTTCTAGACAGAAAGCAGTTTAGCTACACTTACCGAAAAAAATCGGTATCTTTTGGCCCAATTAATTCCACTTTTGAAAATTTAGTTTTAAGAAATAATCTAGAATATAGGTTTAACCATAAAGATATTTATCACAATGCTAAGCAAATAGGTTATTACTCCAATATTACTAGGCATTTATATTAATAGTACATCATACAATAAATTAAGCTGCCATTAAAAATCATTTACACCAAATTTTTAATGACAATTTTAATTGCCCTGACATAAATATTATAGGGTGCAGGGAAGAAACAAAATACAAAGTATACTGTTTCACCAAATAAGATCTAAGGTTATCTCTAGGTAACAAAGTTATAGGTAAGTTTTAGTCCTCTCTTTTGATAATTTCTAATATTTCCTTAACTTCAAACAGTAAACAGGTCTTACTTTATAATATTTTTTAAAATTATGTATCACCTCCACCAAACTGTACTATATTGCTATTACTTCAACGATGTAAAAGATACATACAGGGTGGTAGGATTATGGGTAATTTTTATTCTGTTCTCTATAATACATATCCATTGTCACTTTATGAAAGAACACTTCATTGTTTTGTAGGAAGTACAGATTATTGCCAAGGTAAGTAAAAAATAGAAATATCAAGGTCAGCTATAAATCAGTTATCTTTTAATTCTAGGGCTAATCTTTGTAAACATTGCAAAAGAGTTGAATTAAGTTCAACTGAAAAAAATCAGAGTCTACCAAAGAAGAGAATTATAAAATAACCAACAGGCCAGAAGCAGTGACTCACATGCCTAATCCCAGCACTTTGGGAGGGCAAGGAAGGCAGACTGCTTGATCCCAGGAGTTTGAGACCAGCCTAAACAACACTGGCAAAATCCCATCTCTATAAAAAATATGCAAATTAGCCGAGCATGTTGGCTCAGGCCTGTAGTCCCAGCTACTCAGGAGGCTGAAGTCCGAGGATCATTTGAGCCCAGGAGGTGGGGGCTGCAGTGGTCCGAGATTCACCACTGCAGTCCAGCCTGGGCAACAGAGCAAGACTCTCAAAACAATACAAGCCAATAAAAATTATCACATCACTTCAGAAGGTACAAGCAGAAGTACTTTATCAAACATTCTTAACTAATTTTCAAGAATGACTTATTAGGCCAGGAGCAGTGGCTCACATCTGTAATCCCAGCACTTTGGGAGGCCAAGATGAATAGATCACTTGAGGTCAGGAGTTCAAGACTAGCCTGGCCAATATGGTGAAACCCCATTGCTACTAAAATTACAAAAATTAGCCAGGCGTGGTGGCATGTGCCTATAATCCCAGCTCCAGCTACTTGGGAGGCTGAGGCAGAAAAATTGCTTGAACCCTGGAGGCAGAGGTTGTAGCGAGGCAAGATCGTGCCACTGTACTTCAGCCTAGGCGACAGAGTAAGACTCCTTCTCAAAAAAAAATTACTTATTAAAAGTAAAAAATATGTCATTGTGTCATAGATAAGTATGGTTTATGCCTTCTTTATCACAGTTACTAGTTTTTCAGTGGCTTATTAGTGGTAAGAAGTGTTGGATAAAACGAAAATAGTATTGGTAAGGCATATGTTAATTAGCTTGATTTAACCACTCCACAATGTAGACATATTTTAAGACATAATATTATATACCATAAATATATATAATTTTTATCTGTAAATTAAAAAAATAAAGTATCTTAATTTTTTAAAATATGTATATACAATAAAGTTCATTGGACTTTTTTTATTTTGTAGGCTAGGGATAAATGAATAGAATAATATTTTCTATCCAATCATTTTCCCTAGCCAATTTCAATGTTCCAAGGTTTAATTAACAGAGCAGGGAAGTTCCCCTGAACTGAACTCAACACTTTGGAAATATCTTAATTTTAAAAAATTAAAATAGTACTTCACGATTAATAACAGTGATCCTCCAAAATAATTCAGCTCAATGGAAAAAGAAGACAGAGATGGCTTCCTAACAGTCTGCATAGCTCAAAAATAAGCTAAAAGGAAGCAATTAAATCAAAGCTTTGGGCCTAAATAATAACATAAATCACCATATAAAGTACATTATTTTAAAAAACCTACCATACAAAGATTGCTAATAATCTGAGTGGTATGTTTTAAAGATTATTCTTCCCAGGAGAAATCTGGAGAAAGGAGAGATTACACAGGCTTCTCAGGTGCTTTGCCTCTTACTATTTTGCCAAAATTAGTGGTATCTTATCAATAGTATAGCAACATTTCAGCCACTAGGTGGCAGGTTAAAAAAAAAAGCTAAAACTGAAAAAGCTAAGCATATGGGTGCACAATTAGTTACTAAAGGAAGAGATCAGAGGTACCAAAGGCCCAATTCTCCCAAATTCACAAATGCCAAGAAGTGTGACAAAACGAGAACATCCAAAGTAAGACTGACCTTGCCAAGGTTAGATTTGAGAACAGTCACTTCTCATCACTAACAGTATTCTAAGAAAAACTGACATTTAAATAGTGGGTGATTCATAGTATAATCTTAAGGAATAGATCAAGGATGAGTGTGGAGAAGGACTCCTGGATGAAGAAATAAAATCTCACTTCTTGAGTTTAGTAGAAGAAAAAAGAAGAAAAGGCTGGGTGTGGTGGTTCATGCCTATACTATATTAAAATAACTTAGCCAGGTGCGAAGGCTCACACCTGTAATCCCAGCACTTTGGGAGGCCGAGGTGGGGGGATCACCTGAGGTCAGGAGTTCAAGACCAGCCTGACCAACATGGAGAAACCCCGTCTCTACTAAAACTACAAAAAAATTAGCTGGGCATAGTGGCGCGTGCCTGTAATCCCAGCTACTTGGGAGGCTGAGGCAGAATTGCCTGAACCCAGGAGGCAGAGGTAGCGGTGAGCCAAGATCGCGCCATTGCACTCCAGCCTGGGTAACAAGAGCGAAAAAAACTGTCTCAAAAAAAAAGAAAGAAAATATCCAAAGATACAGGGGAGCCACCCACACAACCATCCTCACATTCCACAACTGTATCTCAAAAATACCATCCTCACAGAATTAAACTGTTTCCAGAAGTATATAGAGAGAATTAACAACATAACATTCCTCAATACACACAAGAAAGTTGAAGCTACCTTCCAAGAATGTGCATTGTAACATCACGGAGACTTGACCAGATTTCAATAAACTCTGATGAAAAAAATATGTTAATAGGATCACCAGCATGCTAGTCATACAGAATGAACAGTTTGGCTCTCTGACTCTAGTACATGGAAAGAAAATGTCCCATCCCATAAACATGTATGTCGGATTCAGAAAGCTGTAAGTCTTAAAATGAAGACAAATGTATTAATGCACCATAGTTTGATGACATAGTCTGATTAACATGATCTAACTAATTCCTCTGGGCTCTGAGAATTCCAAGCTCAACAGACAACTGTATTATAAATTGTCTTCCCTTGTATATGAAAGCAATGTTTTTCAACTTCTCTGCAACATAACTAAAGGATTCAATACACTCCCAACAATAACAGTGATTCACTAGGGTGATGATTTTTAACGAGGAGGCATCCCACATATTTGAACTTCCAAGAGACTGTTATTTTAAAAAGTACCTAAATCCTTGAGATTCTCTTTTGTGTGTGCAAATTATGGAATGCATGAGAAACTTTGTACATGTATATAATGTGTAGTAATCAAATCAGGGTATTCAGGATGTCTATCACCTGTGTACAACATATTTTTTTGCGTTCTACTCTGCTATAAAACACTGAATTATTTCTTCAAGCTTCCTGCATGTCTGTACACTTTAACTCACTCCTCTTCACCTTCCCCTCTCCCCTCCACTTACCCGTCCCAGTTATTGTTATCTATTTTTCTACTCTCTATTTCCATGTGTTCAAATTGTTTAGCTCCCACAGAGATTCTTATGACTTCCTTCCACTGGTTGAGAATTATGGGCCAAATAAAGAATAAATTGATCTAAATTCAATTACCTGAATGATTACATTTCTTTCTGCAAATTAAAATTTTTGGCATTTTGGTTTTATATATCAGCTTCTGTGCCCTTGGTTAATCTGGGGCATGCTGAGAGTCAAATCACAAATGGGTCAACAGACCTTAAATGGAGGTCACCTAGTCCAATACCCTGCTTAAGAATCCCCTCTATATTTTCCAACATTGGTTTAATCTGGTTAGTTTCTATCTAATACCTGAGGATAACTGCATTGACAGCTGACCCCAGAAATAAGAGGAAAAAGAGTTGCTTTTAGAACTCAAGTCTCTCATTTCAAAAGGTAAGTAAACTTGAGTAAGTGCTTTATAAAAAATGCAGTGAAAGAAGACAGATGACCCAGAGGAAAATGGGCAAAAGGACCTAAGTGGGCACTTCACAAAAATCAAATGACCAATAAACATATGAAAAGGAACACAACCTCATTAGCAATCGGGAAAATATAAAAAAAAATTTATATATATATATATATATATATATATATATATATATATACAAAACACTCAGCAGAATGACAAAACTGAGAAAACCATACAATACTAAATTCCACAATGTAGACATATTGATTACACTGTGGAGAAAGAAAATTGGAAAGCCACTTTAGAAAACAGGCATCATAAGCATTCCCAGTAATTTTACTTCTTATTCCTACAGAAACTTTCGCATGTATACAAGTGAATTCATGCTCACACCAGTACTGTTTATGAGAGCAACTAACTGGAAACCACTCAAAAATCAATTAAAGGCATAAAATGAACACAGTGATAGATGAATAAAATTAAATACTATAGGCCCAAAGTGGGGCTCATGTCTGTAATCCCAACACTCTGGGAGGCCAAGGTGGGCAGATCGCTTGAGCCCAGGAGTTTGAAGCCAGCCTGGTAACATGGTGAAACCCTGTCTCTATAAAAAATAGAAAAATTAGCCGAGCATAGTGGCACACAGGCATAGTTGCCTATGATCCTACCTCCTTACAGAGGCTGAGGAGGGAGGATCACCTGAGCCTTGGGAGGCTGAGGCTGCAGTGAGCCATAATTGCACCACTGCACTTTACCTGGGCAACACAGTGAAATCCTGTCTCAAAAATAGAATATTTTTAAAAAACAAAATTTAATACTATATAGCAATGAAAATAAACAAGCTATAGCTGCATGTAACAATATGGACAAATTTCATCAATGTATTAAGTAAAAGAAGCCAGAGGAAAAAATGTAAACAATGTAATTCCATTTACATAACATTCAAAAACAGATAAAATTAAATTATACTTGGAGGTATGTTCATGTATGGTCAAATAATTTTTAGAAAGCAGGAAAATTATTATCACAAAAGACTGGGAGTGATTACCCCTAGCAGAGTAGTAATGTTAAAAAGAAGATACTGTGATTAGAGTAGGCAAACAGGGACTTCTAGAATGATGATGTTGTATTTCTTGACCTGGATAATAGTTATAAAGATGTCAAATGTAAAACTGTTCTTCACACTGTACATGAGCTTTCACATAACTTTTCTACATATATATCATAGGTCAAAAAATGTTTTAAAAAAGAAGCAATAAGGCTGGGCATGGTGGCTCACACCAGTAATCCCAGCGCTTCGGGAGGTCAGGTGTTCAAGACCAGTCTGACCAACATGGTGAAACTTCATCTCTACTAAAAATACAAAAATTATCTGGGCATGGTGGCATGTGCCTGTAATCCCAGCTACTCAGGAGGCTGAGGCAGGAGAATCACTTCAACGCGGGAGGCAAAGGTTGCAGTGAGCCAAGATCATGCCACTGCACTCCAACCTGGGCGACAGAGCAAGACTCCATAAAAATAAATAAATAAATAAATAAACAAATTTACCTACTTTAAAATTCTACTGTAGACTAACCCTACCTTTCCCCAAAATTCACCTGTAAAACATCAATTTCTTTTCTCATATATATATTATACTTTCGGTTCTGGGGTACATGTGCAGAACATGCAGGATTGTTGCATAGGTACATATATGGCAATGTGGTTTGCAGCCTCCAACCCCCCATCACCTATATCTGGCATTTCTCCCCATTTTATCCCTCCCCAACCTCCCTACCCACTGCTGTCCCTCTCCTATTTCCTTCCAACAGATCCCAGTGTGTGATGCTCCCCTCCCTGTGTCCATGTGTTCTCATTGTTCAGCGCCCACTTATGAGTGAGAATATGCGGTGTTTGATTTTCTGTTCTTGTGTCAGTTTGCTGAGAATGATGGTTTCCAAATTTATCCATGTCCCTACAAAGGATACAAACTCATTGCTTTTTATGGCTGCATAGTATTCCATGGTGTATATGTGCCACATTTTCCTTATCCAGTCTATCATGGATGGACCTTTGGGTTGGTTTCAGGTCTTTGCTATTGTAAACAGTGCTGCAATCAACATACGTGTGCATGTGTCTTTACAGTAGAATGATTTATAATCCTTTGGATATACACCCAGTATAGGATTGCTGGATCAAATGGAACCGCTATTTCTAGGTCCTTGAGGAATCACCACACTGTCTTCCACAATGGTTAAACCAATTTACACTCCCAGCAACAGTGTAAAAGTGTTCCTATTTCTCCACATCCTCTCCAGCATCTGTTGTCTCCAGAGGTTTTAATGACCACCATTCTAACTGGCATGAGATAGTATCTCAATGTGATTTTGATTTGCATTTCTCTAATGACTGGTGGTAATGAGCATTTTTCCTATGTTGGCCTTATAAATGTCTTCTTTTGAAAAGCATCTGTTTATGTCCTTCGCCCACTTTTGAATGGGTTTGTTTTTTTCTTGTAAATGTATTTTAGTTCTTTGTAGATTCTAGATATTAGCCCTTTGTCAGATAGGTAGATCGTAAAATTTTTTGCCTGTTCTGTTGGTTGCCA